GAGGTCTCCCTCACCGCAGACTCGCGGAAGAGTCAACTGATCTTCCCCCAGCCCAACTACGCTGACACGCTTATCAGCCAGGAGAGCTGTGAGAAAAAGGATTTTTTATCAGCACCTCAATCTCTACTCGAAGATGAAAGAGAAGAATCCTTTTCTCAGGTAATCAGTCTTTTCACAATATACATACAAGCTAGTTTGCTGAAATAATTCAGTTACTTGCTTCCACTGTTTACTATATCTATTTTGTTCCCCCAAATTTTCTTGTGGGTATAGTCAAGTTTTAGGAAGTGAGTCTTGGTGAATTACTTCTTGGTAGGTCTTAATGTTCACAGGCTGTAAGAGGAAGGAAAGGCTAGAATTGCTGTGCCATTCTAGCCTGAATGTAAACCAGGAGTTAATAGATTGTCAAAAGAGCACTGTATTAGTAACTTGGGTGTCTGGTTTTTCATACTTTCTTCTCCACCCCTGGGCAAATCATGTCATCCACCAGATCAACAATTTTTTCTTTGTTAAAAATATAAAGTTTGGAATTGATGCTTACTCAGGTCCCTTCTTTTAAAATATGACTTTTATTTTATATTTGAATTTGTGTATGAACAGTGAAACACCTTAGTTGGTTAGTTCTTTCTCACTTGGTCTTAATAAATTTCTTTCAGTTTGGCAGTGAAGTTGTTTTCCTTAAGCTGCATGTCCTTCCCTATCAAAAAAGATGGAAATGTAGAAATATACATTCTTTACAGTGTTTCAGGAGGTATGTCATGTTATATTGGCTTAGTTTTAAATATCACATTAGCCTCTAAGCTGTCTGTTCCTTGAAGAAGCAACAGATTTATCCTTTGCTCCATAATAAATTTGTAGAGTAATAGTAAACAGATTTATCTTCTTTGTTTTTTTTTATCTTTCTCATATGTGGGAACCATATTGCCTTTTAGTCTTTAAAATAATACATATCCTCAATATAGTTTTGCTTAAAGAAAAGATACAAATACAAAAATTTGTATCCTACAATTGCCCATAAAGATCTTCTTTGTTCTTCTCAAGGTTTCCTACTCACAGCAGCTGCTAGAAATGTTCCCAATCCCTCCTCACCCAATCCCAGTGCCCCTCTGACCAATTTTCTTTTTCCATTCCTCTTCCTATATTGGCTTTTAGTATGTTGGTTATGTATTTCATAACAGAAAATAATAAACCCACTAATATTCTATGTAACTGGTATCATTTTAAATTTTTATTTGGGAATTATCACACACTAATTGAAGCTTTTATTTAATGATACCATATCTCTCAAAGTGCTGTGATTCTTTATGTTGCATCTGATTAAGGAAAAATTTTCCGAGACAATGCGTTGTGTTGGTTACTACTATTACATATGAGTAAAATTGGAACTATGAGTAAAATTGGAACTCACTGTGGAATAATATGTCATAATATCTTTACTTGTAGGTGAATAATAAAGTAGAAACAGGAAAATAAAAGCAAAGTTATTTATACTGTGTGTAGTAACTCCACAAGAATAAATGCCTTATGCATAGATATGTAATGCATCATGATTGAAATGACAAATATATTATATTTATATTTCTGTAACTGGAAACCTACAGGGAAAGAGATTCTGGAACATGAAAGCTTATTTCTACTAGTTTCAGTTGTGCGTTTTGAAAAAACATCCTTACTGTCTCGATTTAAACAAAGAGAGCTTTTAGTACCCTGAGGGTCTGTGATTTCTCTCTCACTTCTAGGCATTGCCATGCTGTTTTCTCTCATATCCAGGCCTTTTCACTGATCCACTCCTCTCATGTTTCCTGAGAAAGCCTTTGCTAACCTCAAAGACCCAATTGAAGGCTCCACTAACCCCCTTGGCTTCTCCCATTATGACAATTATCTCAGTATGCTGCAATTCCATGTTTGCTTTTATATCCTTATAATCTCTGTGAAGGAAGTGACTGTGTCTACATTGCTCATCTTAAATCCACAGACTAACATATTGTCTGACACCTAATTGTGCGTTTGCTTAATGAATATTAAATAGCAACAAATATTGAGACTAAGTTATCTGGCTGCCAAGAACAAACTTAATGACATACAGTGTATAAATATGGCTAATATTTCTATGTGTTTCTTTTCTCTTTTTTTTCCTTGTCTCAGCTCTTGTAGAGTTAAGAGTATAGAGAGGGAAAGGTGAAAGATGAGGTGGCTATCTTATCAAATAACCCTGATAAATGTAGTAAGTATAACAATAAATACATGTTCAAGGTTCAGTGGTGGAAGAAAAAGTGACGGTCATGTCTTTTAGTAGTTGTGTTTGTCGTTAAGGCCAGTTCTTTGTTACTGTGTGTTTCTTAAACTGAACATTTCAAAACAGTAACTCCACTATGTTTGAAGCAAATATTGGTTGCAGTGAGGTTAGTGCATGGAGTCCCAAGAAAGATAACTTGAAGTCACACTGTACATCAATTCAATTATGTTGAATCAACACTAGTCCCCTTATCTTTGACAAGAAGGATTTCAGGTGTTGGATAATTCAAAAATAATAATTCGTGTTTGTCTGAGAGGATGCAGTAAACGGTTAGGCCTCTTAGTGTCGCTGTTGACCACTCAAGAAGGAGAATGCAGCTGGAGAGCGAGTTCACCATTTCCTTGCTCCTAAAATGCAAAGAGCCAGCAAATCAGACTCAGAAGATCCGGGGCAGCTGCCAACCTCACCCCTTAGTCAACCGTCTGTTTGACCTGTGAATTAGGCCCGCGAAAGACTTCATTTCTTGAGAAAATAAGATTGGAGTCCATCGTGGGAAACTGGAACAGAATTCAGAGAAAGCAATTCACCGCAAAGGAAATGACCAATTGCCTGAGTTTCCGAAATGGCAGAGGACTGGCCCTGCTGTGCGCGCTCCTGGGGACGCTGTGCAAAACAGGATCCGGGCAGATTCGCTACTCGGTGTCTGAGGAGCTAGATAAAGGTTCCTTCGTGGGCAACATCGCTAAGGACCTGGGGCTGGAGCCCCGAGAGCTGACGGAGCGCGGAGTCCGCATCGTCTCCAGAGGTAGGACGCAGCTTTTCTCTCTGAATCCGAGAAGCGGCAGCTTGGTCACCGCAGAGAGGATAGACCGGGAGGAGCTCTGTGCTCAGATCCCGCGGTGTCTGGTAAAATTTAACATCCTGGTTGAGGACAAATTGAAAATTTTTGAAGTAGAAATAGAAATTAAAGATATTAATGACAATGCTCCTAATTTTCTAACAGAGGAATTGGAAATAAAAATTGGTGAACTAACCATTCCTGGAACCCGATTTCCACTTAAAACTGCTTTTGACCCAGATGTGGGCATGAACTCCCTGCAGAACTACAAGCTTACCCCCAACGACTACTTCTCCCTGGCTGTGAATAGCGTCTCTGAGGAGGCCAAGTATCCAGAGCTCGTGCTGGATCGGGCCTTGGACCGTGAGAAAAAAGAAATTCACCAGCTTGTCCTGATTGCCTCTGATGGTGGTGACCCTGTCCACTCTGGTAACTTGCACATCCAAGTGGTAGTCCTGGATGCAAATGACAACCCACCAATGTTTACTCAACCTGAGTACCGTGTAAGTGTTTGGGAGAACGCGTCAGTGGGTACCTGGCTGCTTACGGTGAATGCCACCGACGCTGATGAGGGATTCAACGCTCAAGTGTCTTATATTCTAGATAAAATGCCTGGGAAAATCTCTGAGATTTTCCATCTCAACTCAGTGACTGGAGAAGTATCAATATTAAAAAGTCTAGATTATGAGGATACCATGTTCTATGAAATTAAAATTGAAGCACAGGATGGACCAGGTCTTCTTTCAAGAGCCAAGATTCTAGTCACGGTTCTGGATGTGAATGACAATGCTCCAGAAATTACCATCACTTCTCTAACAAGCTCAGTCCTCGAAGAAGGCACCGCTGGAAGAGAAATTGCACTTATTAATGTGCATGACCGAGATGCTGGACAGAATGGGCAAGTTGCAATTTCTGTCCTGGGAAATCTGCCATTTAAGTTAGAAAAATCAATAGACCAATATTACCGCTTAGTGACAGCCACATCCCTGGATCGTGAACAAATGTCAGAATATAATATCAGTCTGAGAGCCACAGATGGGGGAAGTCCGCCACTGTCCACGGAAACTCACGTCACCCTGCATGTGATTGACATCAATGACAACCCACCCACCTTCCCTCAGTTCTCCTACTCCGCTTACATTCCAGAAAACAACCCCAGAGGAGCCTCCATCTTCTCAGTGACAGCCCAGGACCCAGATAGCAACAACAACGCCCGCATCACTTATGCATTGATCGAGGACACCCTCCAGGGGGCGCACCTGTCCTCCTACGTCTCCATCAACTCCAACTCTGGCGTCCTGTACGCGCTGCGCTCCTTCGACTATGAGCAATTTAGAGACCTGAAGCTACTGGTGACAGCCAGCGACAGCGGGAACCCTCCACTCAGCAGCAACGTGTCGCTGAGCCTGTTCGTGCTGGACCAGAACGACAATGCGCCCGAAATCCTGTACCCCGCCCTCCCCACAGACGGTTCCACCGGAGTGGAGCTGGCGCCCCGCTCCGCAGAGCCCGGCTACCTGGTGACCAA